CCCCAAAACCCCAAAACCCCAAAACCCCAAAACCCCTCAGGCCTGTGCTGCAATTGAACGACTGAAATCTTTCCTGGGTTATCTATGAATAATAGTTTTAGTGTGGATGGCCTCATCGAATGATCTTCTGATTGACATGAATTTCAGGTTCTTGAATGGCTCAAATCTTTGCTTCCTGCTGACATACTGAGGTTCGATCTTAGTGTACCCTCAGAGAGGTGAGAAAAGAATGTAATTCGGTTTCTTGAAGTTTGTCCTCATATCTAAAGTTTTATTGGGAATGTGCTACGGATTGACTTCTTTATTCTTAAAGGCTTCTTTTTGGATACTACAGATAAGTAAGAGCTTACCTTTGGCCTTGATTACTGGGATACTCTGCAAATTACCTTCTGTACTCGTAGCACAAGCTAGGAAGGCTAAGGCGGGGTCTTACAATTATTTTATCTTTACATCAACTATTTTCTCTGAATTCTCCGATGATGTTTCTTTCTCAGTGTCTCAAAGATTGGGAAACAAGTCAATATTCAAGTTAGTCTGCAGATATTAGCAGCAGATTTACCTTGAAATTGACTTTCAATTGCTTCTTTTTTCTCACGAATTGTTCTATATTAAACTATAACTATAACATTACTTTTCCTGGTGCTAAAAATTCCTGATTTCAAACACTTAGTGCCTGAGATGGATAAATTCTGGTTTTTCTTTTTAAAGATAAGACTCTAGCCTACATTTCTACTGAAGGAGGATCTCCTGGGCAACTTATTCGAGACCAAAGAACTTGAAAACTTGTACCTTTGCCTTGAGATATCTTTATTTTTCTGTATTGTCGGACTATTTTAGATTCCACACCTGAGAAGATTCTCCACCGGAGAAAGAAAGAGTTGATTGTGTCCTAAATTTAACACAAAATGTACCCATTAAGATTACACTCGTTTGGAATATTGTCAATCTCATTCTTTGGCTAAAAATTATGAAGAAGAGTACCATATTATAGAAACCTAAGTGATTTATGAAAGCAATAAGGTCTGCTTTGTTGCTATAACCTGGCCTAGTATTAGGAGTATTCAAAAAAAACGAAGACTGCCTGCTAGAAGGTATTCAAGACCCGAATAATGTCCTTTTGGGTTTGATTTTCTAAATATTAACTCCAATTTCTATTTAAAAATGCTCTACCTTGTCCTTGATTCTTTTCATAGATTCAATTTCTGACTCATTCTTGCTAAATGTTTGGTCAAGCTTTATTACATGAAAGTATTCACAATATTTGTTCGTAAAGGAAAGAATTAAATCTTCATAAAATTCTGCAGCAACTTTAAAAATTTCAGGAATAAAAATCTGGAGATTGTTCTCTCCATGTGAGGCACTCAGAGAGGGATCTCTCTGAGTACTCTTCGGTAAGAGTACCTACTCTTTAGTTTTATATCGCCTGCAATCAATCTGCAAGAATTCTGTATTCATACTTATTTCTAATTATGTGAATAATTTTGGGGTTTTGGGGTTTTGGGGTTTTGGGGTTTTGGGG